AATTCATTGTTTTACAAAGACATTATTGGAAAAATTAGACGACGTGATTCTTTTCTACAACGATTGCTTGATCTAAGAGGTATTGGGTGAAAAACTGAAAATAAAAGGATACGGTTATTTTGAGCAAAACATGTAAATGATATGATTATTTTGTGCCAATTACCATACTATTTTTAAACAATCATTTTAATTACTTAAGTATGATTATTAATGAATAACAATGAATTTAAAATGATAGGGTGTACATAACTATAGCAAATATTGTTCCTATTTGATTTAGATAAAAATCAAAATTTTAATGAATCTTGATAAAAGTTGATAGAATGTGTAGTTGAAAAGTCGTGAATGCAATAAAATATATTATTAAAATTTAATTGTTAACTTTGATTTGAATTTTAATATGCTTTTAACTGAGGCATTATATATTTCGTGTATGTATATTTAATGTATAATAGTAGAATTAATAAGTGATAGGATATTTATAAGATGAGTACAACAAAAATAAGATATAATTAATAATTGAGATAACGAGTGCTTGTTCGATAATTTTTTGCTAAAATTTTATTAACATTTAATTGATTAAAATTCACACATTTTATAAACCTTACACTTTTTATCAATTACGTATTTCATCACAAACCCTTAATGAATAAGTAACTAGCATTAAGCACACCCAAAATCAATTGAAAATAATGATTATTTAAATAGTCGCAACACACATTGAACAAAAATACTGTGAATGAGAGTGCCGTGATCACAAAATTATAGCAAAATTCATTGAGTCTAACACGATTACAAAGTATTTCATTTCATTGATATTTAACGAGAGGTAGGTCGGGGAGAACAAATTTGGTCCAAAAATGAGTATAATAGAGATGAGGCGTTTGTGGATAGTTATTGGGGCCAGGGATTGATTGGGAGCGTGACAGTGTAGGAATTGAGTAGTGGTGCTGGGATTTGAAGAGATCATCTTCAGTTGAAGCAGTTGCGGTGGAGAAGAATGGATGATTGAGTGGCTAAATATTGAAGAGATTTTGGGCTAATTATTTTATCCAAAAATACGTGATTTTAAAAATAAATTTTGAAAAAATGAATATTTAGATAAATGAGGCTCAAGAAATCCCGAAAAATGAAAATTCCTTTTCATGCACCAAACACGCTCTTATGGCCATTGTCGTTTTCCCCATGGCAAAAAAGTATTAACCACGTTCGAAAAATGGAGAACGAAATCAGCCACCTGGTTGGGGCCACCTACTGAGCGTTGCCTCCCAATTACGCCACCTCTCAAATAATTGCTTATTTTAATCGTTTTTCTCACTGTCGCGTATAACGAAAATAATTTATAATTAGTTTGTCCGTAAAGAAAAGTGAACTACTCCCATTTTGAAAAATTTGCAGTAATTCTTGTCTGAAAGGAATTTTTACAATCCAGAAAATATTTATCTTTGATAGGTGAAGGGCAGTTATTTATTGTTTCAAATAAACCTGTAAGGTATCGGGATTTTTGGAGGTTGCTTTTTGATGAGAAGAATGCCACCAGCGTCGACGGCTCGTAGCTCGGCTTATCTCACAGCTCTTACTCAAGAAATTGACAAGAAGCTTCAACGTGTATGTATAGATATTTTCTTGTTTTTTATGTAATTGAACTCTGATTATGTATTCGTGCAGTGTTTATTGGTTTTTTGTTGGAACCATGGTGTAGGCATTAGCTTCGACATCGCAGAGGCGCAATTTGTTGCAGGAGTTATTCGTGGATATAGCTTTGGAAGTTGATGATCGTGCTAAAGGTAAATTGATAAATGATTCATGGAAAATGCTTGTTCTACATCACTATTTACCAAACTTGTCAATAAGTGAGTGGAGGTGTTTTTATTTTAGTTGATTGATGGGATTTTAACCCAATCAAATCTCACGTTATGTATCCGTAAATAAATTTGTAAGTTGTGATGTACATGTAGCACAATGGATGATTCATTTATTGGTTAATTTTGTTCATGCATGAATTCAGTTGAAAAAAATGAATGGAAAGGAGTAGTCATGATTAAATAGTGGATACAATTATATTAACTGAGTAATTCTGGTAAGCAGTTCTTTCAGAGCTCTGCAGTTTGCATAAGAGCTCTATCCCAAGTTGTTGACCTCAAAAGATGATCAACAAATTCCCTCACCTAGCTAGATTTTTATCTCCTAAACTCGCTATTTTGCTGCCTAATGTAGAGTAAGAGGAGAAATGACTATTTGGGAGGAAGATATTTCAATTTCAGCATACCATTCTTAATCCCAAGCATGCCTATTTATATATTTCTATTCAGACTTTTGGGGAAAAATAAGTCTTCGGAGCTGGTGACATGTGGCAGCCATTGCTTGATTAATTTAACAGTTTTTTGCTTGCCTGCTTACGTGTCCTTCATTAATTGGTTATGAAGTCATGTTTTGTACTTCTATTCACATGCGATTTGATAACGGTTTTCGCTGAGGTGCAATGAGTTAACAATTCATCATTTGTGGGTTCTTGCGAATGTTCTTCTCTGCATCATAAGTTTCGCATGCACTTTTATTTCTTCAAAAAGGTTCGCGGGAATAGGGGTTAACCAATATTTGTTCATGAGCTTTTGTTATTCAACAGTAGTAAATTGATGATTACATTTCAGGATGTTAAATCACCTGCTACTGAGTTTTATACAGGATTAACTCCAACAAGGCTCGATACAAAATGCCAATATGGATGATGTTTAGTACATTGGATAAAAACACTGGAAGAGAAGCCACAACATACAATTCTCTCCATGTTTTTTTATTTGGGATAGATGTAATTACATTTAATAACATATTACGAATGCGTGAAGTTGCAAAGTTTTGACATTTGTTTATGGAGATCAAACTGAGATCCATATTTTATATTATATTTGTTGATGAAATAATTTTTAGTTCTAGGAGGGGATAAAGACTATGGAATGTTGATGTTTAGGTCAAGTAGGACTATGCGTAGAATAACAAAAGGTTCATAAGAGAAACAGAAAGTAAGATGGATTTAAGGCACATACAATACTTGAAAAATAAGAAATTAGGATATTACGGGGACAATTGAAATTAACACAAATTAAGGAGAAAATAAGGAAACATGACTTTGAGCGTTGGGTCATTTATTCCATCATCCAATTTAAAGATGCTTTATACAATCTAGCAATGTTTAAAAGCATCCTATCTTTACAACATAAGGCGTTCCTCATGTAAGACATTTGTTAGGAGTCTCAAAGCTTACTCTATATTGCCTTTTGAGGCTTATGTCTTGACTTACAGAGAAATATGCCTTACGGCAGCTCAGTGATGCTCCCTTTTTGAGCCTTTTTTTTCCTGGCCCAAACCGATTTTTTTTCATAGCCCTGAATATTTTAACGGCCTTTTTGAATTGTGTAAACACAATCCAACATTAAAATCGAAGAGAAGAGAACAAGTCAGAGCTCATATATGCCGTAGCCCTTAATCCCATAACCGATATGAGATACCTCTTAAGTGAAGTCGCAACTTTTAAACAGCATGACTGGCAATAAAAGGCATGCACATATCTTCATTTTTTTTTGCTTTCTTTTGTTTTTTCTTCTTTGCATCTCCGTGATTTTGATTTTTCCCTTTCTAAAGTCAAACCAAGCAAGATTCTTGAATAGTTCATCATTTAGTAATTTGTATTGGACTTTTAGTTTAGTTGTAGATTAATGGCCTTGTTATGTCATTACTACTTCATTAATTTATTATTTTCTGTTAGGTTGATCCATTTTATGTTTACTTGAAAGTTTGACTTTCGATTTTATTGAAATGACTTATTATGAATTTTTAAATGATTTACGGTTTATTGCATTTGTATTATTTTACTAGTCTACATTAAGGCTTACACCTTTTGTTCCACACACATGTCTTCGCGAGGCAAAATGCCTCAACACCTGATTTAGACCTTTTAAACATTGCAATCTAGTAAAACATGTTAGAAGAGTTGAAGAGGAAGAGGTAATGAAGATGTGTATATATATATATAGTATTGATAGGATTCTAAAATAAAGTTTAATTTAAATTATGATTGTTTAGATTATATAAGATTAATTTTGATATTTTGAAACAAATTTAGTTTAGTAGAAGTTCGTTTATTGTCTAGCTTCTTTTAGATTATTTGCTCTATAAGTAAATGGTTTTTTTAATTGTAATTCACAACCTTGATTATATGAATAAACAAATTTTCATCTTGCTCTAATTTTTTTCTCTTCTTTGGCCCCCTTTCTTTATGTTCCTTGTTTTGTTCATTGTCAAATCATACACTCCCGCGTCAATCTGGTGTCACAGTAATTCATTTTCCTTTGGTCTAACATCCTTTGTCTTCAAATCCAAAAATCCACAAATCGTTTTCATCCAAGTCATATGCGCACCACCACCATCCAAGTCCTAAAACCACTTTCATATACAAAACAACATTTAAACAGTAGAAAACACAAGAAATATTTGTTTCGTCAGCAATCAAGGGCACAAATTTTTCCTTTTTAGTTAGAGCTAAAAATAAGCGAACTTGTACTAAACTAAAATTGTTTCAAAATATAAAATCTAATCAAATCTAAACAACCATGATTTAAATTAAACTCTATTTTAGAATCCTATCAATACTATATATCTATCTTCATCATTAGAGGTACACAAAAATTGAATGGCTTGAGGTGGTTGCATAAAATTTTATTTTATTGGATTTCTGAGTAGGTACAGCTTTGGATCAAATGAATGACTAATAAAGATTCACTCAGCTGACCCTAACTTATTCGGAGTTTTTGTTATTGTTTTAGTTTATGGAGGTTGGAGTCATAGAAACTGGTAATTTTGCTTTCAATAAATTTTGGAGATGGCACGACTTCAACAGCATTCTTTTTATAGATTCATTTCTAGGAGTTCTCACTTTTGAGGAGCAACTAAATAGGAAACATATTCTGCCAGTCTGAGACCCATGAATCAGAGTCTCATTTACAGCTTTCTGATTCATGGGTCATGATTCATTTAGCAATAAGCACAAGAGTATTGTCCTTATATTTGTTATCAACTTTGGCTCCGTGGTGTTTTACAGATTTATATTATATTTCTAATAATGAATAGTCTAATTGATGAACATTTTCAATTTGACTGGTAGTTGGTAGGGATAATGGGATAAAGAAAGAATTCTGGTAGATCTGTTTGACAGTCTGTTATAGATAACAGTTTTGGAAACTTCTGGCAACAGCACTCTGCTTGAAGACGAAAGCAGGCTTATTTTTACTGGCTGCATAAGTTCTTTCTTCTGACAATGACAAATCACTGTATTGGGCGTGATGCTGATATCAGGACTGTAGTTCATATAACTATGTCAACAATAGTAATCCTTGTGATACTAAAAAAGTGAAAAGGTCTTGACACGATTTCTGTGATCTACTTTTCCGAGTTTGTGTTTGCCTGTGTGTTGTATGCATCATTCGGAGATTACTATGTCCCATATTCAGAGAAGATGTTCTCTATAATAATGATTGAAGGAGATTCCAGTTCTTTCACGATTCCATATTTGATTTTAAGGAGCTCCACCCAAATTTATAACCCCACACTGATCTACGTCTTGCATGTTTTCAACTTAAAAATGAAAGGTCGGAAAGCTTGCCTATTGGGATTTCTTTGGGTTTGGAGGGATGAAGCAGGAGATGCTAACTATTGACTGCCCGTATTTCAAACTAAAACTTGGAATTCTAAATGCATATGTATGAGCTATTGCAATGTTACTAGTTCCTGTAAATGAGTTCAGAACCACAATTTTGGGCATCATTTTCAAATTGTTAAAATTATGATAGTCACTGCCCCTATTCCTTACATCTGAGTGCGGGCATAGAGTCTTCTTAACTCTTTTCTTTTTCACTTTTTCCTTTTTGGTTCAAAGGGAAACGGGGAAATGGAACACTCTTCCTTTAAGAATTAACTTCTGTTCGATGTTCACAAAGTTTTCGAACAAAAAAGATTTCTTTCACACTTACTCAGGATTTCTGGGAGTAAAACACTTCATATTTGCCCCATTTTTTCTTCTCTTATTTTTCTTTTGAGCTTCATGTGCACATAATGCATATCACAGTACAAGGCGTGTATTCGTCGTTTAATTTTAAGATTCATTGCATTGACAGCATAGTCAGCAGTAAGATTGTGACGGCTCAAGGCATCAACTTGTTCTGTCATCATAGTTGTGAATGAAAATTCGTAACATCAAATTTAAAGGGCTAGAAAATTGATTGGGTGGGTTAGCTTATATCAATTCCTTTTCCTGGACCTGGAGTGAGTATAATAGTTGAGAACAATTTGACATGCAAGGAGGTCCCTGTCGTGCCCAAATGTGTCTTCTATGTTTTATTTTCTCTCTTGATCTTTTTTTTTCATCGCAGACTTTTAATCTACTGCCTGCATTAGATTACCCATTGTTTTCTAGTCTTCGTAAAGGAAACTTAGCAATAAAAGCTATAGGAATAATAGTATATGATCTTTAAACAAAGTAAATGTACTTCTCAAATACCTTAAGACTTCCCATGCAGATAAAGTATTTATGCATATAAAGATGATGGTGCTTGATATGTGGCAGTTCTGGAATATCTTTCTGAAGTTAATTATGTCCCGTGTAATTTAGCGGTTAGTCATGTCTTTTTATGCATCTATTCCTTGTTCAAGAGGCAATTCAGATTCATGTGTTCGATGCTTTTGGTGGGTATTGGCTCAATGATGTAATTGAGGAAACTAAGTTTCTGTGTATTTGAATAAT